TAATGCTTGGATTGGATTTACCGCCGCCACCTCTTTTCAAAGATGTTATGGAGAAAAATATAATACCACAGGTAGGTGTAATTTTCTCGCTGGTTTCTTTTGTACAGGAGGGTACTTATACAGCCACTAGTTTCCATTTTCTCTTGAAAGTTTTCATTTCGTGCTTAGTTCAATATTGGAGACTTGTTTGATTTTGAGAGTACTCGAGATTGCCATGACTTTCTCCTCCTGGCTCTCTCCCAACCCCTTCCCTTCTCCATCATCAGACTACCAAACCATGGTGTTGAGTGTATCTCTGAACCAAAAGCTTTTCAAGTAAACATCAAATTCTTTGGTCAGAGAAACTTTTTCCAGCAAAAGGGGTTAACACTGTGGAGTTGGTTAAGTTGGACTGTAGTGGAGGGAAAAGCCGTTTACTCATTCCAATAGGTGATCAAGGAAAAGGATGGAATGGTTTTTTAGACCTCATTAGTATCCACTCTAATTTCAAAGGGGCCATAAATGACAACTACGGTCCCCCGTTTCAAGCGTTTTGGAGCTCAACTTACTGCTATTTGATAAAAATGGTCGATAATTTGCGGTCGGCATGGGTCCAAGAATCAAAGACCTTTTAATGCTTCTTTTTGGAGGCAATAATTGTAAGAGGAATAAAAAATTGTTGGTTGTTTCAATAGTTGCTGTTAGGAGAATTGGCGAGCAAAAGGCTTGGGAACTTTTTATAATATTAGAAGTTTTTTCTTCTTTTTCTCCCTTATTAATGTTGGATATTATTGATTTTGGAGAAATCTTCAAACCTTCAAGTTTTGTGAACTTCTTTTCTATAAACGTCAATGAAAATTAGGCTTCTTTTTCTATTTTGGTCCTTTTGCGTGGGGGTTGGGTCCACTCCCAACTTGTCTCATGTCTTTTAAGTTTCATTTAATAGAAAGGTTTCCCTTATTTAAGAGATTATAACTTGTGGTCAATTAGAAGTAATTATGTAATTCTTAGTATATCTATGACCTAATTTTTTGAATGTCCGTTTATGTATTTCTTTTCTAGGTTCCACTCTTCAACATTTTGAAAAAATTTGATGGTGAAACTATCACAGAAGTTGTACGGCCACGTATAGCAAGGATGCGCTACCGTGTTACTCGATTGCCTCAGTATTTAATTCTTCATATGCGGCGATTTACGAAGAACAACTTTTTTGTGGAAAAGAATCCCACTTTAGGTAGTTGATTGCATTATATTTGTGAGAGTATATATTACTGCGGAATGAAGTATCTTTTGTTAATTTAATAATTGACATTTTGGTCTCAGTGAACTTTCCCGTCAAGAATCTAGAATTGAAGGATTACATCCCCTTGCCAACTCCGAAAGAGAGTGAAAAATTACGTTCGAAGTACGATTTAATTGCAAATATTGTTCATGATGGCAAACCGAATGAAGGGTACTACAGGGTATTTGTACAGAGGAAGTCGGAAGAATTATGGTAATTCTTCTTTCCCTTTTTGTAAATGGTACCCAATGATCTAGAATGCCTGACCCCATTGCGATCAAACGTCGATATTACAGGTACGAGATGCAGGATCTTCACGTCTCAGAAACACTTCCTCAAATGGTTGCTCTATCTGAGGCTTATATGCAGATATATGAACGGCAGCAATAGATAGGAAGTTCAATAGCGCAATAGTTGGTTTATTTCCCCTCTACAATATATGCATCTGTACTTAAACAGGAGATGATAGTAGATAAAGGAAGCTTCTTGCTGCTAATCTCTTCGTTTAATTGTAGAATCAATTGAACATACTTTGGGAAATTGGACTGGAAAGGTCTGGACAATGCTGCTGCTGATGCTGCTGCACACCAATTTCTGTAAAGCAGGTGAAATTTTGTTGCCTAAATTACCTGAGTTTTTCTGTAACAAACATAACATTAATGATTATGATATAGATAGTAAGGCAACGGGATGAGTTTTATGAGTTTGGAGGATATGTATTTGCAGAGATGTGGTATATGAGAAGGCATAACTGTGAGAGTTTGTACTTTTGAGTATCTACTGAATTTTTGTTACTTGTTGGTAGGCTGTGTAGAACATATATTCTTGAGTTTGCAGCCCAATAGACAGACTCCTCTGATTAATAACACCCTTTAGTACGCCCCTCTTCCCCTCACCTTCCTCCCAAATTCTCATCTTCATTGCCACTTCTTTTAGTTAGTAGCAGATTCTATACTGTTATTAGAGTTCGTTTTTTTCGAGTGTTGGTTTCGTTCTTAAAACTTCTAATGAAGTTTAGTTTCGGGAAGTGTCTTTCTAACTAGATAATTAGTATGATCTCCAAACAAAGTTGAACATCTATCTCTTTGACCTGATAGCTAGTATTGCCTCTTAGTGTAGTCAATGATGGGTCAAACTCAATTAAGTGGAGGAACATCTAACGTCTCTCTGACTTGATAGCTAGTATCGCTTTAGTGTAGTCAATGATGAGTCAAACTCAAATAAGTGAAGGAACATCCGTCTCTTCTTTGGCTTGATAGCTAGTATCGCCTCATAGTGTAGTCATTGACGAGTCAAACTCAAATAAGTGGAGGAACATTTGACAGTGTAGTCAATGATGAGTCAAACTCAAATAAGTGGAGGAACATCTGACAGTGTAGTCAATGACGAGTCAAACTCAAATAAGTGGAGGAACATTTGACAGTGTAGTCAATGATGAGTCAAACTCAAATAAGTGGAGGAACATCTGACAGTGTAGTCAATGATGAGTCAAACTCAAATAAGTGGAGGAACATCTGACAGTGTAGTCAATGATGAGTCAAACTCAAATAAGTGGAGGAACATCTGACGTCTCTTCTTTGACTTGATAGCTAGTATCGCCTCATAGTGTAGTCATTGACGAGTCAAACTCAAATAAGTGGAGGAACATCTGACGTCTTTCTGGTCTAATAGCTAGTATTGTCTCTTAATGTAGTCAATGAAGGATCAAACTCAGATAAGTGGAGGAACATTGACGTCTCTCTGACTTGATAGCTAGTATCAGCTAGTATCGCCTCTTAGTGTAGTCAATGACGGGTCTGGGTCAAACTCAGATAAGTGGAAGAACATCTGACGTCTCTCTGACCTGATAGCTAGTATTGTCTCTTAGTGTAGTCAATGATAGGTCAAACTCAGATAAGTGGAGGAACATAGACATCTCTCTGACCGCTAATACTGCCTCTTAGTGTAGTCAATGACGGGTCAAACTCAAATAAGTGAAGGAACATCCGACGTTCTAATAGCTAGTATTGCCTCGCAGTGCAATCGATGATGGGTCAAACTCGAATAAGTGGAGGAAAACTTATTATTTTACCGTTTTAGAAGTTTCAAGAATCGATTACTTCGATTATTATGGATACATTTAATGACTAAAATTTGTTTGATATGGTAGTTTTTAAATAAGTACAAATTCTCAATAAGCTCTATAGCTTAGCCATTAAAATATTCCATAATTTTCAAACATCTAATAAAATTCCTTCCTTTGATTTCTAATTTTGTACACTACACACATTTTATAATCCCTTAGCTTAAAAATAATAATAATAAAACACGTGTCCAAATCTTAGTAGAATGTGCAAGATAACTGTAGGCAACTCCACAGCAGATTAGGACCCACTGAGAAACCTCTGGAAGCAACGGAACCCTAAGTACTGAGCACAGAACCTCTCCATTTCATCGCCGCCTCTCTCCCGGCAAACCTCCGCCTCCATCTCCGCCATCGTCTCGTCCCAATTCCTCACAAATCCGTCGCAATCCCATCCGTTGAAGTCCACCTTCGCCTCCGACACTGCGTCCAAGATCTCCTGCAAGCCAACGATCCGACGGCTCACTTTCCTCCTCGCCTCCCTCACCGCGGGATCGATCCCCGGCACCGAGTCCAACCTAAGAAGGATACTCATCAACGCCTCGTTCATCCTCAGCTTCTCGAGATCGTTGCTTCTGACGGCGTCGACCGTCTCCTGACGCTGTATTAGAGCCTGGATCTGATCTGCCTCTCTGTCGACGGCAGCTATAGTTTTGTAGAGACTGCGGATCCGGTGAGAACGGTAGGCGGCCTGGATCTTCGCGGCAGCGGAGGACTGAAGGGAGGGAGAAGGAGAAGGTTGGAGAAGGAGAGGGGTGGAATTGGGAGGTGTAGAATGGTGAATATGAGAAGAGTAGGAGAAAGCGGTGGCGGTGGCGGTGGCATAGTAGAAAGATGTGGGATTCATGGAGGAAAGCGATGGGACGGTGAACGGCGAGGGAGCAGAAGAAGAAGGGCGAAGGGAGTTGGACCGTTGTAGTTGGCGTATTATTCCGACGACGATCTCTGTTTTTAAAATATGTTTGCTTCAAATGCCACAAAATCTCAAACCCAATTCATACTGTTTTGATCATTATATTACAAAGTGAGTTCTTCTTTAAGTGTACAAAGTGAGTTCTTCTTTAAGTGTACAAGAAAGTGACATCTTTATTCAAAAGTATGTTACGAATCACAACTGGTATTATATTGTCCATTTTGAATCACAACCGGTATTCTATTGTCCATTTTGAGCCATGAACTCTGTGGCTTTGCTTTGGGATTTTGAACTTCCCAAAAGAGCTCGTCAATGGAGATGGTATTTCTCACTTATAAATTCATAATCTTCCACTAACATGGGACTCACTCCCAATAATTCTCAACAAAATATATCAAAAAAATAATTACTATAATTAATATACAAATGTAATCTAAAAAGTAAATAAAACGTCTTAAAACTAAAAAAAATTACATCACAGAAATTTGAATTAAAACTAAGAGAAATTTGAATTATGCTCAATGTTATTAGAGTTTACTTTGAGACAATTTCATTTAATTCTCGTGTAATTATTTGCTTAAAATTGAATTGCACCGTCAAAATAGTTTTAAACTTTAATACATTTAATCTCCTGAAGAAGTGGTTAAGAAAACATTTTGGAGCATCTAATCGTGCTTAACTAATTATCACCACCCGTCATAATATACTTAATCTTAATCTAATTAACTTCATTATATAAGACCACATTAGAAAGGAAAAAAAAAATGTTTCATATGATCCAATAAGATAAGTAAAGGGTGAAGGGCAAAAAGGTGAGAGTGAGATAAGACATGGCAGTTAAGGGCGGAGAAGAGGCGGAAGGAGTGGGCGGTGCGGCCGCTGAATCGCCGTCCGACACGTCGTTCGTTGTTTCAACTCCTGTCGTTTTCATTTGGGCCTTGTGTTGGGCTTGGTTTTGGTCTTGGGCTTGGGCTTGGGCTTCCACTTGTACGTGCAGTTTCAGGCCCTTTTTGCAGCTTTCTGGTTTGCTACTCGCGAAGTAGCGGATTCCCTCTCCGTTTAACGGCACGATATCTATGCCGTCGGTGTACATCTTAATGAAGTTGCTTACATCGCACGCTTCGTATTCCTTCTTGCTTTGCAGCTCCACTATCTTACCCTGTGCCATCGAGTATGCGAACCCTGCACCCCCCCCCCCAACTTTATTACAAATACAAATTGAATAAAAAAAAAAAAAA